CTGCCCAATCGGCTCAACTCATTACCTCCTTTGTCTCCTCCCACTCCTGGCTTCGCACCTCCTTTCACGCTGCCCTCCTGACGCGGTTACTGCCTCGATCAAGGTGGGCAGAGCGGCCTCTTTCAGTGGACAGGATCAGTACTGACAGGTGGGAGTCGGTGTCACTGAGCCGTGCACAGTCCAGGGTTTGTATCCCAGCCAGTCCAGATGAATAATAGAACGGAGGCCTCGAAGTACATCCCTGGCAAAGCACAGACAGGTATTATGCCTACTTTACGGATGGGTAAATTGAGGCACAGAGAAACACAGTGACATGCCCATGTCCTACAATGAGTGACAGAGCTGGGAAGAGAACTCAGGAGTCCTGACATGCAGTTGCCTAGTAACTGCGAGACTGCTGCCTCCCCTGTAAGGATCTATGAGCAGAGGCTTTAAAAGATGAATGAAAGAAAGCCGGCAGGAGCCGTGGAAAGTTTTTGTCTTCTGGAAGCTGCTGCCCTGATGTTACAGATGATCACGCTCTGCAGCCTTGTTTCACAGAACAACCACGCTTTGCAATGTGGTGGAGGAACACACGTGGCCTGTTAATAAGCTCCAGCAGCCCATCCTGGCAATACGCCCCAGTGGATGGACGGGAGAGTCAGGGCTTGTGTGGTCCTGATCATGCCAGTTGGTAAAACCAGCATAAAAACAGAATCCAGAAATAGGGGGAGAGGGGCTCTGCTATTCTTAGCTCAGGGACGATGCAGGCTGTGGAATGGAGAACACGGAGGGTTTTCAGGTTTGGAAGGCTCAGCTGGATGGCTTTGTCAGATGTCCAATTTATGCAGTTTGCCTCCATGGTTTTTACATTAAGTTGTAAGGGGGAAAGGGAAAAATAAATGCATTCCCACGGCTTGCCCACAAGAGGAGATTCTTGCAGCACCAAATCAATCCATTATTAAATGAACAGCAAAACGAGGCTCTGACAGCACTGGCTTTGCAGACAGCTAGCAGCCCCAAGTTGTAGGCATTGTGCTCTGGGACGAAGGACATTTGACTGCATCTCCTCATCATGACATCACCTCCCGGTGTCGTGATGCAAACCTCACCGTATCCTGACTGGTTAGCATCACACCGTAACACTGATGCATGGCAATACAGGGCCAGGACCCAGCACGATGACATGATGTCCCTTCACACCTGAAGATATGCCCAGGTCCTAGTTATTCCATCACTGCGTGTGAGTAACTCCCAGTGATTTCAGTCACTTACTGCAGCCCTGGGACGGTTGATCCATCAGGGCTCACTCACGAAGATCAAGATCAGTTAAAACGATAAGACAGATTTCTCCCAGACAGTTCGAACAATGCACTTTAGTTCTCACCTGCGGTTCCGGCCCTCAGGCTTGCCCAGAGTTTGCATGGTGGTTTGTGATATGAACCCGTGCCCCCTGGTGAGTAGTCTGGGTCCAGCATGTTCATTAGCGCAGGATCAAGAGGTTAAAGCATGGACCTGGGTGTTAGAAGATCTGCCTAATCTGCAGTCAAGGTGGGACCGTGAACTAATTATTTAGCATTTGTGCCTCAGTTTTTCCACCAGTAAAATTAATACTTTGATCCATGTTTGTAAAGCATTTTGGGATCCTCAGAAGCAGAGTGCTATAGAAAGGCAAAGTATTATTTTCTTGTTGCCCCAAGCTAAATCTGAGCTTCCAGAAACGAAGGCCTGAGCATTATCGTTCTGCGCCATCAAGTGCTTTGTAAACCACAAGAACAGGGATTGGAAACGGAGGAATCACTTCACTCTTTGGGAATGGGTTGTCCCTTTCTTTTATATGAAGTGATACAAAGTACACCGGCATTTCCCCAGCGTATTCTCTTTGTAAAGCTGCAGATATAAATGCAGAAGAAAAGGCTTCCCTCTGGAGTATCTTTGAATGGAGCTCTTGCCTGGAAACTGCCGTTCTCCCACCATGGTGTCACTGTCAGTGTTTTGCGAGAGGCAGAAAAGAAGAGTGGTTTATTTCACTGAGCATGTTCTCTGTGGGTGTGATTGAAGTAGCCCCATTCTGGAGTTAATTTATTCCCTGTGGCAAGAAATATTCCAGTCTTTGTCCGGGTGGCATTGTGCCCATGGCATTAGCAGGACAAAACAACTAATTATCCGGCTGTAACCCATTTGTGCTTCAATGGTTAACAGATGGTTTATGGAGATGAATGATGCCACTGTGTTGTGATACTGAACCATGCTCTCCACACTGCCCACTGGACTTCCCATCCTGCGTAACTAGCAGGAGGTACTGGGCTATGCGAAGGTGGAAACGAAGACATTTGTTTATGTCCCAGGAAGTAGTTCTCAGTACATGGATCTGAATTATGTGGGCCTGAGAGGCTGCACTGGGTTAGCCCGGGGAAGCCAGGCGTGTTAGGGAGATAGAATTTCATGGGGTTTCTCTGAATAGAACTGGCAGTGAAGCGTGAAAGGAATGTGCAGGGGAACACACCTGAGTGCAGCGAGCTCGGTCAAGGGATTCAGGCTTTTCTGATCAGCAGCTTTTTGCCTTTTATGAAATACTAGAACTCAGTTGCATCAACTCCAGCATGGGTGCTGCTGTTCTGTCTCCCGAAAGGCGCTAGCTTCAAAGCCTCGGGCGCCAAAGTCCTCTGTTTAGCCACAGGACAGGAAGAGTGGCAGTGTGGTCTTCCCCTCCACTTTACTTCAGCTCAGCTCTGACCTGGGCGAAACAAGAAGGGACTTGAATCTCCAGGTCTCTGTTGGGACAGCAATCTGGATGCCCTCTAAGAAGGAGCCAGAGTGAGATTACCAAACACTGTTCACACAGATAGCACAGAGCCGAGCAGGGTTCAAATAGATGACCTACAAGGGGAAGGCTCCATATCCCATTGCTAATTCCATGAGCCATCCAGCACCCCCTTGCTGCTACAGTCCATGGATGATCCCTGGAATCACAGTGGACCGTCCTGGGGATCCTGGTCCGTGTGGCAACAGCAGAGACGCAATTGCGCCTTGTCACCCTTTCTTACTAACCATTTGTGGGAGAAGGGTGGAACTTTTATCCTCCAGATGTAAGGTTACGTGTCCTCCTACAAGACCCCAGGACCCCTCCCACTCCAAATGAACAGCTCTGAGGGCCTCGCCCTGGCTGACTACACACCAGGCAGAACAAAAGCCTCTCTTATATAATGGCAGCATGGTCAGAAGCACTGCCTAGCACCACCAGCTAAACAGCTGGAACCAGTGGAGAGAGACCAAGGTGATGTTTGTATGCCAGTTCGGTTATAAACACTCCGTCTCAGCAAGAGAACACTGGGGGAGGGCGGGTATTTTGGCAATTCCCTACAATTTCCCATCGATGGGCGTGCTCAGCCGCTGTCTCGTGTTACCCTGCACAGAGCCAGTCTGCGCTGTGAGCTGGTCGAAATGCCGGCAGCTATCTGCCACTTGTGTTCACTAGCGTTCCTGCCGTGGCTGTGGGTGGTGGAACTGCCCCGTCGGTAGCAGTGGTGGAAAATGTTAGGGAGGAAAAAACCCCGTGGTAGACAAGGTCTTGTTTCCATTGTGTAAAGCCAGGCTTTGTGGTGTGAGGGCACAGGGATAGTCCCTGTCAGTATGCTCCCACCCCTAATCACAGCTCTGAGCTATGAGGCTAAGCTGTAGTTTTCTCTGGGCAAAGCTACAACTGAGAAGCAGTGTGTGACTGCAATCTGGCTGAAAGCACTGTTGTGACTGGCCCAGGATGGAAGGCACCATACAGGCATCAGAAAGGCCAGTGATTGCCTGAGAACAGGACCCCTGGCCACTTAGTTCCAAAAATGCTGGCCTCAGCCCTTTTAGAGACAGGAGAAACCCTTAGTGATGGCTAGCCGAGAATGTCTACACCGCCATCGGGACAGTATGTGTAGACACACCAGAGCTAGCTCACTGGAAATAGCAGTGGAGCGCCCTGGCCTGGGCTAGCTGCCTGAGTCTGTACCTGCCGTCCCAGTCCAGATTGGACAATGGGAGGTGCCCAGGCAGCCATGGCCACACTGCTATTTTAGGAAGCTAACTCAATCAAAGCTAGCTCGGGTATGTCTACATGAGTTGCAGTCATGCCTCCCAGTTGCTGTGTGGACATACTCTTAAGGTCAGGTTCAAATCCTGTCTGCGGGCTGCACCCATTAGAAGGTGTAAGTTACATACACGTTTAAGGCCTGATCATTTTTTTCTTTTTTTATCCTGGTGGCTCCCAAACAGAATTAAGATATTTAACAGGTGAGAAGCTGTATCTGTAGGACCAATTGAGGAGAAATTAAACTGGGGTCATAAACTCCCCTCTAGCCCGACCAGCACATTAAAAGGTGAATGCGAGGACTGGAAGAAATCCCTGTTTTTCTTCCGCTGACATGAATGGCCTGTTCATTTCAATGGGGGAGGGGGTTGGTGGATACAGTGTTTGGCCTCTGAAAATTACCACAAATACCAGGCCACTGATAAGTTTCCAATCCACTTTGCTCCCTTTTCTAATGATCACCTGGACCAGGGTATGAGTAAAATGAACAGAAGAGAATCCAGATAATGAAAAAGATGGGAGGAAGGGCCAGACCAGATCGCTGGGGTTGAAGGTGGTGAAGAGAGTTAATTAGCATGGTAAACGCCTGGCCCACAGTTTAATCTGATGCCTCAGGTTATCAAAGCCAAGACCAAATCCGGCTATATTTTTGATCCCGTGTCTCCGCCCCCTTCTCCAGCCTGCTTGTTTTTTATATCCTCTGGACGCTCTTTGGGTCAGGGACCCTCATTTCTTAGGCTTGTAAAGGGCCTGGCACTGTGGGACCTAGACGGGTTGTGAGGCCATCAGCGCTAGCGCAATATAAATATGAAATAATCACAGTATTGAAGAAGAGCTGAAGGATGGAATAATAAAAATAAAGGAAAGATGCTGGCTGCTGGCTATGAATATATTTAATACTTGCTCATTTGCTTTGTCAGTAACATTATTTTCTTTTTTCCTTCAGCAGGGTCTATTGTTCATTTGTATTCAGGTAAGTGATGCCCTTTTACTCTGTCTTGGTTTTAGGATCGTTAGAAGTATGGGAACTGACAAGGGTTGCCAACCCTCCCAGTTTGACCCGGAGTCTCCCGGGATCAGGCTCGATCTCCCGGAGGCTACTGAAGCCAGTCCAGGAGATTTTAGGCTGCTAAAAGTCCAGCGGTGCAGCGGGGCTAAGGCAGGCTCCCTACCTGCCCTGGCCTGCCACTGCTCCCAGAAGTGGCAACATGGCCGGCAGCGACTCCTAGGAGGAGGCATGGCCGGGGGGGGGTCTCTCCACGCTGCCCCCGTCCCAAGCACCAACTCCGCACCTCCCATTGGCCAGGAATGGGGAACCGCCTGGCCGCCCATGAGCCGCTGCTGGACCTGCATAGATTCTAGAACATGCTGCCATGACCAACCAGCTGCTTTCATGCATCCTTCCCCACTTCATGTCCCATCAGTCCAGCCTCTCCCTCTCTCTGCCCACAGTCCCAGCTGACATGTTGAACCCCGAGAGCGTGGTGGTGTCCGTGTCGAATGTCAGCGCCGTGGCTGGGTCCCAAACTGTCCTGACCTGCAAGAGTTACCGCATGATCTGGACCCAGGACCGTCTGAATGACCGCCAGCGTGTGGTCCACTGGGACTTGTATAGCAACCCGGATGGAGATTACAAGGCGGAGAGGCTGTGTGACATGTACTCGGCTGGGGAGCAGCGGGTGTATAGCTCCTACAACCAAGGGAGGATAGCCATGCCCCAGAATGCGTTCGCAGATGGCAACTTCTCACTGGTGATCAAAGGTACCAGGAGCCAAAGTGATCTCTCCTTCCATTGCTGTAGCTCCATGCTCTTGTACTGAGATTTCCTAAGGGGAAGGGCAGGCTGATGTCATCTGAGACTCAGGAAATGCAGTGTTCTAACCACGAGTAAAGTAACCACCTTTTAAGAGAAACTTGCCTTGCAACCGCTTTGAAAGTCTTAATCACTGTGTGTCAAAGAGGAAGGATAGCCTTATGGGTAAAGCACTCTGGGTTCCAGTCCTAGCACTGTCGTGGACTCCCTGTGTGGCCTTGATTGAGTCACTTAATTACTCTGTGCCTCATTTCCCCATCTGTAACATGATAAGAATCCTGCCTTTCTCCCACTCTCTGTCCGTCTTGTCTATGCAGATTGTACGCTCTTTGGGTCTCTTACAGTGCCTAGCACAAGCTTGGCTGGGGCCGGTATTACTGAAATGCCAAAGAATAACTCAAACAAACAAGAATGAGCTCAAATGAGCATGTAACTGCAGTGGGACGTTGGCCCTGTTTGTCTAAAGCTCCTTCGGTACCGCCAAGCCTGGGGACGTGCTGCATAAACAGCTGCAGACAAGCGTCACTTTGCTCTTAAAGGTTCTTTTTCTCCTCTTGCACTAGATGTTGCAGAGAGCGACCAAGGCACTTACTCCTGCAACCTCCACCATCACTACTGCCACCTGTACGAAACGGTGAAAATCCAGCTGGAGGTCACCGAGAAAGGTAAAGGCACATGCTGATGCAAACGATGGGCATCGGTCCCTCTGCGGGGGGCAGGTACTCCCCATGCCCAGTACCTCGGGCCCCAGTCTGACAGAGAACTCTGGGCAGCGGGAGCCCTATGCTCATGGAGAGCCTTGTTGGCTTCACAAGGGTACTGCCCAGGGCTAGCACCTTGAGCCAGCTTTGGTGAGGGAGACCCCTGCTCCCACCCAGGGCCTCAGTGAAATCAGTGGGGAGTCCGTGCGGAGGCAGAGCACCGCGCGGGATAGGATCACTGGTGCTGCACGTGAATGTTGCTGCACCTCAAAAGACATCAGTGCTCACTGCGGCTTCTAGCAGCCAGGCAGCTGTGAGGTTTCCTTTGCTTTGCCGTTGGAGTCTTGCTGTGTCAAGAGGGGGAGCTTCTAGGGACTGCCACCGATGGCACCACTTGGATGGAGACACCACTTGCTGTACACGTTCCCCTTTGCCCGCTGGCATCACCTCCATCTTGTCTGGCTTTCCTGCCGGTCCCAGTCTCGTTAGCCCTGGGAAAGAGCTGAGGCTGCCCTGCCTGCCTGTGCCGAGAAAGGGGCGAAGGGCTGAGTTTCCAGCGAGCGTATGGGTAACTCGGATAAGTGGGCGTGGGGATGGGAGGGAAGCAGCATCTTCTCTCTTGCTCCCTGAACGTTTCTGTGCGTATAATAAAAACGCCCAGTCTGGCTCCGGGAGCCCCACTGCTTTTCTGGTTTTTATTGCTCAGTGTGAACAGCCTGCGAGCCAGTGAGCCTGTAATTCCCCCAGTAATTAGGGCACTGGGGGCATCAAAGCATTTCCTACAAGGAGACTGCCTAAGATGCTTGGAGGATGGGACTCAGCATGTTGAAGATAAAGTCTGTTATTGTTTTCCCATTCTCAGTCATTGGAGAGAGCGTGCTCTTCCTTCTCTGCAAACCTAGCCACGGACTCTCAACTACGAGGGAGGAGGGACGGGCTCGCAGTTAACACCCTAAGCTCGGACCCGGGAATCCTGCGTTCAGTTCCTAGCTCTGGCACAGACTCTCTGTGGGAGATTTGAGCCAGTCACTCCCCTTCCATGTGCCTCAGGTTGTGAAGCACTTTGAGATCCTCGGGTGGCAGTGCAGGGCAGGAAAGCATTCTCGGTGGTTCCTAGCATGGGAAAGGCTGGCGTCTAGACAGCAGAGCTGCCGGGGGCAATAAGGTATAATAAGGTGTGTGCGCTGGGTTGTTTCCAGATGAAATGGGACTGTACTTGTTTACCCAGCTGCCTCCTGTGTCCTCTCTGCAGCCAGGGAAGCGAAGAGGTACTGGGATGGCGAGAAGGCCGTGATTGTTGCCTTGAAGGACAGCACCGTGGTGCTCCCGTGCGTGAACCGGAACCAGATCTGGACTGAGCGGCACAGCGAGGAGGAGCAGCAAGTGGTCCACTGGGACAGGCAGCCCCCGGGGGTCCCGCACGACCGGGCCGACCGCCTCATAGACCTGTACGCGTCCGGCGAGCGCCGCTCCTACGGGCCTCTCTTCATCCGGCAGAAGATGAACATCACTGAGACGGCCTTTGCCCTGGGCGACTTCTCGCTGCGGATTTCGGGCCTGGAGAACGCGGATGAGGGCACGTACTCCTGCCACCTCCACCATCACTACTGCGGCCTCCATGAGCGCAGGATCTTCCGGGTCTCCGTGACGGAGCCAGTGAGAGAGAAGAAGGTGGTGAACCTCACTAACCCCAACAGCGTGCCCGCTGTAGGTAGGTGATCCTCCCAGGGTGGGGTGTCCTTCTTCCCGGGGAGGAGTGAACAGCTATAGCCCTGCCCTAGGCTGAGAGGGGTCACAGAGCAGGCTTACGGGCCCTGCCCTCAGGGAATGCCTCAAGTTCCAGAGAGTTTTCTAGCAGGCATAGAGATCGCTCTGCTTGCTTTGTGTTACCCCCACAACAGACCTGGCCTCAGGAGACACTCTGGGGCAGGCCGGAAGGAGGGAGGGGACGTGACCCAGGTGACTCGGCATCCCTGCAATGCTCCACAGAGGCCACTGAAGCAACTTTGAAATGCTCTGAGAGCTTCCCCAGCCTGAGCCAGGGCCCACACATGTCCCTGCAGCCAGGAGTAGATGAGACTCAAACAATGTCCCTTCTGTCAATGCAGGAATGAATCTGCCCCTATGTTCTGAGGGGTGGTTGGTGTCTTTGTGTGAGTGGTGAGTGCTCTGATTGCTTGAGGGGGAAAGCGTCTGCAAAGAGCAGTCTGAAGCAAACCCTGGGAACCTCTGGACAGGGCCCGATCCTGCTCCCAGCTCCCATTGAAGTCAGTGGGAGTTAAAGATGCTCAGCACCTCTGCAGCTGATGGACCTGATTCTTCTCTGCCTTGCATCTAGTATATGCTGGTGCAAAGTGCATATGCTGGTGCAAAGTGCATTTCAAAGGCTACTATTCTGGTGTGGGAGCATTTCACACCCGCTCTGAACAGGTGTCCATGCCAGGCAGTGGAGAATCAGGCCCCAAGATCCCCCTTTTTTTGCCATATCTCGCATTTTCTTCTCTGGACGAGCTGCTCTCTGACAGCCTGTTCAAACCCTGAACCATCACACTCATCACAGGCAACCCCCCTTCCCCAGTTTAATAATTTTTGAGCCTTCCGGGTTATCATTCTTTATTAACATTTTAAAATATTCATCGTGGTTTAATATTTATTGGCTGCTTAATACGGAATTTAAACGTGCTTCATAAATCTTTAAGTAGCTCCCTTCTGCTTCAGCAAGAGGCTTTTCCAAGCCACGGAGGCCTGCATCTCCCTGCTGGGCCATAGGTCGGCACCCAGAAAAGAGAGGCATTATCAAACAGAGATTGCCCGTGGGCGAGTTTACGTAGAGGCTGGGACACAAATATTACGCTCTCTGCCTATGGCCTTTTTGCTGCCGTCCCTTGGCTCGGGGAGTCCCGTTCAGCTGCCATTTTGCAGATCTACATTTCAATTTCAGGGAGGGTCCCCTAGGAATCCAGCGTTGCTCTTTGTTTGTGCAGTCAGTGAACTGGTAACCACCTGAGCAGAAGGTGGACAAAACATGGGAGGAGCTAGAAACAATTTAATACAGACAGACTAGCTCACCAGTCATTCAGTCCTGCATCAGGTCCCCAAAACAGCTCAAGCAGCGTCTCCTCTCTTGCCTTCTGGAGGAAATACCTAACTAATGTCCTGGCCAATTTGGAATAGCACCGAGAGAGAGCCTCAGTATCCGGACTCATTCTTATGTGGGGTAATTACATTCTGCCTCCTTTCCTTGTCTGATGGCTTTCAACAGAGGACATATTCATCGTTTGCACGTCAAAACTGTTGGCTTAGTGTTGCTGTGGGCTGTCCCATAGCTGCTGTGTTTCACCCCAGCAGTGGCTGCATTTCAGTGGTGGGGAAAGTGATCCCAGTGTCGTGTGTTTCGGTTTAATTGAGCCTATCAAGCACGTTGGCAGAAAAGGTGCTGGATACAGGCAAGATAGTTTCGGTCATCTGGGTCCTGCACTGGGGTTTGTCACTAGCAAAGAGAACGAAAGGATTAATTATTCCAGTCAAAGAAGCAGGCTCAAGAGCCCTCTCTCACCTTACACTAATTCACATTTAAGCAGCAAATGACTGCTCTTCCTGTGTTCAATGGTTTTTGTTTCTCCCTGGTAAACTTTTGCCATTGCTTTTATTCTTTACTCCGTGACAGTTCATTGGCGTGCACAAGACTAAACACAATAAAATAAAGCTACTATGTTCCGTTAACTGAATCAGAACAGTGGTTGCAGCTGGACTGATAAACACAGTCTTGTAGGTCAGAGTGTGCTGGAGGAACTTAAGGAGACAGTGAAGTCTAAGGATCAGTGCAGGGAAACTGGGAGTCAGGACACCGGGGTTCCCTTTCTGGCTGAGTCTCTGTGACTGGCTTTGTGACTTTGGGCGAATCCAGTAGGTCCCAGTCCTGGGACTGGCGAATCCAGTAGGTTGGAGAGAACAGCTTGCAGCAGTGACATGAGCCCTCATTGGCTGATATTCATCAAGTGCTTTGAGATCCTCCGATGACCGGCGCTAGTGAAGGGTAAAGAGGCCTGAGCTGTGCCCTGTGTGCAAAGTATTAGTACAAGAAGGGAAGGAGCCTTCTGCCATTTTGGCAAGCTGGGTCCTGATCCTGCAAATCTGGGCAATGTTTACTCATACGAGTAGTCCCCACTGATCTCCTCTGGCCAACAGCAAAGCACGACACAGATGAACATGTTCCCTTTGAAGACAATGGCAAAACTTGCAGAGACGGCAGTGGGAGAAGGATCAGGCCCAGGATCACCCCCCCCCCCACCTCATTTGAAGAACACATAAGGTGGATTATTTCTGTTCAGAGCCTTTGCTAAACAGGTCCATGAGGGGCTGGCTGCTGTGCACTTGGGGCCTGATCTAAAGACCATGGATCTCAGCAGGGTTTGGATCAGGCCCTAATGGCCTGAATGCCTCGCCTAATGCCTAAAGCAAAGCGAGTCGATTCAGCTGCTAAATTTTGCCCCCTTTGGGCCCCTGGGGGCGGTGAGTGCTCATCTGGCCTGCAAAGCGCCACGCTAAGAATTTGCTGAATCGATGGGAATTTGAGAGAAGCTGGAATGTCTCGTGTGCCTGTTCCAAACCCATCGACACTATGCAGCGTGCCGGAGCGGGTCCTGTTTCCATAGCAGTGGGAGTGGCCGTGACAGAACCCCCCACTCCTTGCACACCCCTGTAAAAATCTTCTGGGAGACATGAAAGAAAAGGAAAATGTCCGGAGATAACAGAACCAAAGTGCTGACCTTTCTCAATGAACAGCTCCAGTTTCAGGCATAGCTCCAAGGTTTGGAGCCATTTCCAGACAGGAAACTTCATCCTGCTGCCAATAGTAACCTGGGCTGGATTCTGCTTCTTGGTTGCACCCGCATAAATCTAGAGTGAACCCACTGACTTTAGTGGAATGATTCTGGACTTACATCTGCGTGACTGAGAGAAGAACCTGGCCGTTATCTCAACGACATATTTATTGTCGCACAGTTCACAGATCTATGCTCAGTTCTCTGCTGGCCTTCAGAGCCTCAACTGGTGCAAAGTGGTGCAGCTCCACAGGCTTCAGTGAAGCTAGACCCATTTACACTAGCGCTGGGGATCTCATCTCTGATATTTTGGTGGCAGGTATGTCAGGAGGCTGTTCCCTGCTTAATTTTTTGCACTAAAAATCAGTTATCCTGGGTTAAAATAAAGCAGCAGCCCTTTGAAAATGCATGCAGCTGTGTCATATATTTCAACCAAAGGTCTCAGAGCACCTTACAAACATTGACTCCCTCAAGTCTCATATGCCTGTGAGATAGGTACTTCTTTATAAAACAAACCTGTTAATTATTCCTCCTTGTCCTAAATGGAGTAGTACGGAGCGAGGCAACTAAACGGGATTATGTCGTATTTGAGAGAAACAAGGAAAGGATTTTGACTATGGCTGCATGTGCATCTGGTCCCCAGTCCTGTATCCTGATGTATGCGAGTGGACCCTCACATCCATGTAGAGCCCTGTGGACTTCATGTCTAAGGGTCCACCTGTATGGATCAGATTGCAGGACTGAGGCCTCGGTGTGTAACCCCGCTGAATTCAGTGATTTATAGTCTTGATTTGTGAGCGTGTGTGTGGGAATACCAGTGCCTTAACTCTTGCGTTGCTGGCTAGGTTAGAGCCCGCCTCTTTTGTTAAATAGCACCAACTCTTTTAGGGAACTTTAGTGCAGTGGCTTGGGTGCAGCTGGGGATGCTATATTTACAAATACTGCAAGTTTGGCTCTTGTTTGTAGCATAAAGCAACATCACCTAAGCTTACACTTTGGTGGAAAACTAGAATGGGGAAGAGATACTGTATACTAGATAGAGATACTGTTCCTGGCTCTGCCACTAGCCTGCTGAGTGACCTTGGGCAAGTCACTTCACTGCCTGGTACCTCAGTTTCCTCCTCTGTAAAATGCGGGTAATGCTGCTGATTGCCTTTGTAAAGTGTTTTGAGATCTACTGGTGAAAAGCACTAGATAACAGCTAGGTGTTAATAATAATATTAATACTTAATAAAGTAAACCACAAGAGGCCTAACACTGTTTCAAATCTATTCTTTGTTATGTTAGTGAAATCCCCAGTGTCTGCAAAAGGCTAAGCCAACTCCAGCCCTGTCCAGCAAGTGATGTCAGGGGAAGGCAAAAGACCAGTAAGCTGCCACGCTGTGCATGCTGTCACCTGGTTTAAACGTCTGCCCGTGCGATTGCTTCCTCTGTGTGGCAGCTACTGCCGCCTTTAACAGCGTGGAGATGTGCTGCAGCGCAGTTGATGTTGATGGCTTTGCAAGTGGGTTTTTAATATTTTTTTTAAGCCTGGCTCTGGTGACAAGAGTTACCCAGTTCGTCCCCAATAGAGCAAGTCAGCAACGGCCAGTGCAATGGGTAGCGATGGTAATAAAAGAGGGGTACACGATTGGGCTGGATGACAAACCCATCAGACCACACAGAACTGAGCCTCTTGATTTTCCGGTGGTGATGTTGGCATTTCCAGGGCATCAACTTTGGCTCTTAAGTTTTTGGCTCAGTTTCCCCAGATGTGTGTATTTAAAAAACAAACAAAACAACCTGCCCCCAAACCAGAAGCTGTATGTACATAACCAGGGCCTTTCACCGCAGGATTGTGGGCACTTGGCAGTCATTAATTAACGCTCGCAGCATCCTTGTGGAGCAAGTCAGTCATTTTTGCTAGATTCTTTGTCTTATTGTCGGGGTCTTGTTCCTCTCCCTGAGTGTACGCTGACCCCGTGGGAACCAAAGACCCTTCCCCCTCATTATGGACGGGGCCGCAATATGAATTTCACATCCATTGACTTTGTAGCTGAACTCCTCCTCAGTCTGAGGGTGGTGGATATTCTATCTGGCCCATTGAAGAGAGCGGCCCAGGTTGGATTGTTTGGATCTGGATTCAAGCTCCCCGAAAGTTCAGGAGGGGTCAGATCCAGTGTTCAGGTTCTGAACCAGGTCTAACTGGGTTTCATCCACAAAGCTTAGCGAAGACTCCATCAGACTTTCAGAAGTCTCCACCTGGCTGTTCCTCCGCTTCCCAGAATGCCCTGCTGCTCTAATCAAGTTGGTAACAAATGGTTTCCCAGGTGGACCACTCCTGTGTGTTCCAGTATTATAGCGGTCAAAAAGACATCACAGCGAGGGCTGAATCCAGCCCTGCGCTATGCAGGGCTGCAAGGACAGGAAAAGGATATAGGTAGCTTCTTCCCCAGTACAACCAGCAGAGCATTTCGGGACAGGAGCAACGGACATACCAGCCCAGGCACCATGTCCCCCAGGGGATTATGCTTTTCTGGCCAGGGTGTGTCCAACCGGCCGATCACACATGCTGCCATCAGCGGGGGACGCTGGCATTTCACTCTTGCTCGGAGCAGCAGCAAAGTGCTCGGCCTGGGCCTGCCCTGTGGAATCCTTGCCTGCCTGGCAGGAGTCACTTTCATAATACAAGCACTGGAGATGTATTTCTGGTCCCGCTTCCTGCTCTTCCTGGAGCAGGACCCAACCCAGAGACAGCTAGTGGGTTTCCTGATTCCTACCTGTTCTTGAGCAGCTGCCTCAATTCTTCATTTTCATCACCAGTTTAGCATCTTCTAATGCTCAAGGGTCCTGGGTCACTCAAGTGTTTAATTAAAGTTTGGCTGATTGGTTTAATGGGCTATTTGCTCTGGCCTATTAGCCCTTCTGTAACTGGGGTCCTGGACCTTTGGGTCAGGGTGTTCAGAGCTTAGTTTATTGTAGGGAATGTGGAGTTTCTGGACCCTGGCTGTGTTTGCATTTCTGTACTGATGGAACTGAATAGCTTATAACATTCTCAAATGGCCCGAAAAGCAAAACCAGCTGTCGGAGTCAGGATGAACTCGTTGGCTTCGCTCAGCAGCGACATTCTTTGACAGCCGATCATCGCTGCGCTTAACCGATACTCTGGAGGTGTCATGTCCCTTACCGGGGAATGACTAAAAAGGCTCAGGGGAGATCTTGTTGCACAGGCAAGGCTGACACAAATGGAGAGCTGGGTTCAAACCGGGGCCAATCATGTCCCAGCTGAGACAGGCCCGGTGGTCTCATTCTAGTCTCGATGGTCATTTGGTCCACACTGCAAAATCACCCTCCATTTTGGCATAGCATAGTCTTTGCTTAGGACAGGTGTGCTGGCAGAAAGATGGAAGTTCTTTCTTGGCAATATGACAGGTTTCAGAGTAACAGCCGTGTTAGTCTGTATTCGCAAAAAGAAAAGGAGGACTTGTGGCACCTTAGAGACTAACCAATTTATTTGAGCATGAGCTTTCGTGAGCTACAGCTCACTTCATCGGATGCATCTGATGAAGTGAGCTCTAGCTCACGAAAGCTTATGCTCAAATAAATTGGTTAGTCTCTAAGGTGTCACAAGTACTCTTTTTCTTTTCTTGGCAATATTGTGCATGGTGGGCAAGGGATGGCGGGGGAAAAGTCTGCCACTCAGTGCCTGCTATTTGTCTCTGTTTTTAGCTCCCCACTCTCATGAGCACCAAAATACACTTACAAAGAAAAGATGGAGCTAAATTCTGCTCTCCCGTAGACTGGTGTAAATCCAAAGTAATGGAATTACTCCAGATTGACTCTGGTATAATGGTGAGCAGAACTTGGACCTTTTTAATTATTATATAGACACTGGGGAAACTGAGGAACCAGAATACTTAGGAAGTTTGAGTATGAGAGTGCAGAGCCAGGAATAGAACCCAGGATTCCTGGTCCCTGCTTTAGCCATTAGGGAATTCTGCCTGAATATACTGCAAGGTACGATGGTTCTTTGGGTGTTTCCCCTTACTCTCTCTCACTAACATAGGAATTTAACTCTGAAGCAGCTTTCAGGTTACAATTCCCTGTTGGCGTTTGTCTGGCACTGTGTGAACATTCCCAGTCTCCATGAGACGGCATCGCTTTGAACTCTGCTTCAAAGGGAAGTCTCCCACAGCACAGTGTGTCTCAGGGCTTTGCTATCTATCCTTCAGCAGGATTTATCTAACCCCCCGACTCTTGCAAACAAATATTTCCTTCTCTTTTTCTGGGGGAGGAAGGGAGAGCATTGACCCAATTATTCAGGCTCTAGAAAAAACGTTCCATATACAAACTCTGTTTCCCTTCCCTGCTTGGAAGACGAGCAATTGGAATTGACAAGCGGCTGCGCCCAGAAATGGAATGGATTCCTGGCTTTTTCACTGTGTTCTTAGTTATTTATTTTGTTTTATTTAAAAGAAAATTCATTCTTGGGCATTGCAAATTCCTTCCACTCCATAAATTATAGCACTTGGCAGGGCCAGGCTGTTTCATCTGTTAGCCGTCTGGAGCCGAAGCAGTGCAGTGCATGTCTAAAGCGACCAGAAAAGCTCGCTGTGCTCTCCTGCAGAGGCACCTGGGGCTCTCTTTGCTTCTCCCTGGACTTGCCCTCTTTGCTAGACAGGAGCAGTGCAGTGATAATCGGCAAGAGTCACTAACAGCACGTTTGCTTCCCTGGAAAGTCTTGGGAGCGTTAAACATGAGCACATGTTAAAGAATGATTATTAATGCCTTATGCAGCAGAGAGGGCGGATGATCTAGTGGTTAGTGAGTTGGCCAGACTCTCGGGGGAGCGGGGTTCACTGCCTGGTTCTACTATCTATGCCCTGTCTGACTGCTCACATCACTGAATCTCCCTGTGACTCAGTTCCTTCTCTGTTAGTTGGGGTTAATAATCCTTAGGATCATATGTTCCTAAAGGCAGGGGCTGTCTCTTATAATGGGTATGTATAGTACTCAGCCCTGTGGGTCCCAATCTCAGTTGGGAGCCTCCAAGCTCAGATGACGAGAGAAACCATCATTGAGACTTCAGAGGGGTGTGTTGTGTTAATTTAGATGGAATCAAGGGGCCCGAGGTGTTAATGTGAGCCTATGACCCTGCCACTGTCCAGCATTAAACAGCGTCAGGGTTTGGTATCCTCACTCTGGTCAGCAGCATGGCAATCACCACTAATTATCCATGGAAACCTTTCATTAAAGATCCAGAGAAGAAGGAAAGATGGTTAATGCATTTGAAATGTACCGTATTGAATAAGGCTTTCATTTTAACAACATTCCTTGTTCCCTTTCCCTGTAGCTGAAGGGTGCCCTTCGAAAGGGACCGCCCTTGTGTGGCGGTCTGAGATGGTGACAGAGATGGTGATAACTGTCCTTTTGGGGGAAAGAGAAGAAGTTAGTTGAGGGGGATTGGAACAGTTGTTGCAGTTATAATCCAATCCAGCTTCCTTGAAGACAAAACAAGCCAAACGCATCCTAGAAGGAAGAGAAAAGAATCAGACAGACAGAAAATGCAGCTCTTTTGACTTTCACATGCTGTCTCACTGCTGAGAAAAAACAGGCACCATGCGTGGTGTTACCAGCCACTCTGAGACCTGGCAAGCTGTAATGAGCATTGGGCCATTTCAGGCATTGCTTTTATCTGCCTCTCTGGTCACAGGAGTACAGCAGTGTTGCAAAATGTGGCCAGCTCAGCCAGACTCGTATTACACAGAAGGGAGGGGGGGGCATGGGGGCAGCAGCCATGGTGGTGAAGCTTGCTCTGTCCCCTTCTTTCAATCAACCCATGTTGTAGTAGCCTCCTCTGCCCATCCGTCTCCGCTAATTTCCCCCGAAAGGTCTTTTCTTGTTAAGAGCCCCAAAAGGGAGTGATGGTGGAGTCGCCCCTTATTATGTTGTTCACCAATTAGACTGTAATTTCCTGCACCCCGGTTTTGGGTCACTGAGTTCTGGTCCCACACATCTCTTGTTTACCCGGCATGAGCTTTACGCAGCCCTTGAATTATAGCAGGAGGCCTTTTAGTTTGGACTCACTCTGTCTCCCTGTCCCCCTTTTTGCACCTGTTCCGTCAGCACAATACCATCGATTATTGTGACACTCCATAAACTTGCTCCCAGGGAAGGTAAATCTGTAGGCCCAACAAGGGGAGTGCATTTGGTTTGGGGTTTTAGTTCGTCCCTTCATGCAGATGAGGCGAGCCGGCTCTGGAGCCAGTTCCCACGTGACGAGAGGCTGTTCGGACGTGGGGCTAGTTTTGCCTCAGGCCTCTCTCTAACGGGACCCCTTTCATCGAAAAGGCTCCCACTGGCCATTACAGCCTGTATCTATGGGGCTCACTCATTCCTCACTGAAGTGCAGCCATTTCTGGGGTGGAAATGGCTGCCGTTCTGTGCCCTGATGCACAACAGCATTTAAAAGAGGCCAGCATTTCTCTCCTTCCCCACGCTGGGGCATGGTTAGGTTCCAAAGTCGTCACCAAAAAGGATTTACCTTTGAACCGGGCCCCCCCATCTGTGTTCTGCTTTGCTCCAGACACGTGGGCGCCGCCATTTTATTCTGCTTTGCTTTCTCTCGCCAACCCCAGATCCAAACCTAGGCAGGGGCCATAACGTGATCAACGTCATCATCCCCGAGAGCCGGGTACACTTCTTCCAGCAGCTGGGCTACATCCTGGCAACCCTGCTCCTCTTCCTCATCCTCCTCATCATTGTGGTGCTCGTTACCCGCAAACGCCGGAGGAGAGGTAAGCGCCTGGCCGGCAGGGAAAGGCCACCAATGGCAAAGTCTCGAGGAGTGTTACCCCGCTTAAGGAGCCAGCCCTTGCTTCTGAGCATCGTGCTGAAGGCAGTGAGACTCGTGGTGGCCAGCACGCTGCTCTGTAGAAAGGGTTTGCAGGAGTGGGCCTGAAGAGAGACGGTTCAGTGAGATGGGTGTGATGGTCACCTCCCCGCCTCCGAACCTTTAAACTGGACCACCCCCACTACCAACAGTTACATGTTGTCTCTGCCCAAACTGTGTAAAACCAAGTGCACCACCTATGGGCGAAGTGAGGTGTAATTGGGGTCTTCAGCCTTGTGTGGACCCTATGCCGTGGGTGACTGTCCCCCTGCAGAAGAAAATAAGTGCCTACAGACATGACTGTAACAGAAATAGCCACATACGCTATGGCGAGTGGGTGTGTGGGGCAATGTCGACCTCCTCGGTAGTGCCCTTGGATTGCCATTCTTTGTGGCCGGTAGGGACCCAAACACCAGGGGACCAGATTCTCATCTCAGTGACACTGCTGTAAATCCAGAGCCACGCCCCTCACTTTGATAGAGTTACACTGGGTTCACCTCGGTGACAAATGAGAACAGAAATCTGGGCCAAGGTCTTACTTAAGGAGAAGAAGGCCCCTGAGATCATAGTACCTCCAAGGCGGGGTGAAGGAATCTAGCCTGATACCCGCCTTTTGGAAAGGTCTAAACATCTAGACTAGACTCTAGTCTGGTACCTGGGGCCCATGATAGACACAGACCTAAATGGCTGTCCTGTCTCACCTGTGCAGATGTACCATGGACCAATTACTAGTGAGTGCAGCAGCACGGGGGGGGGGGCAGTGAGTGACCCCCCGAAACGTCCACGCCTGAAATACCAGAGAGAGACATGACAAATGAAGAAGACCAAAGCTTTTGGTTGCCAGTCATCTGCTGGTCTGGGAGGGATGGAACAAGAGGTGGAGATTTAGGAACAAAACATGACTGGTCCTGAGGCAATGGAGGTGGGATGCACACGGGTGGGCACGTGGTTGGGCTGTGAAAGCCAGGCCCTCCGTGAGCAGCCCTCTCGGCCCCACTCAGAGGGTTGGGTCAAATGGTGACATTGCTTCTGCTCACTGCGTGTCTCTTTCCCCATCTAGGCTACGAGTACAACGTGAAGAAATATGAAGAGTAAGTAGGAATCCCTGATCTGTAGTAAATAAGCACTGAACAAAGTGAAAGGCTCCATCTTGAAGAATATGGGCCCAGATCCTCAGTGCTGTCACGTGGTGTAATGCCACCAGCTTCAGGAGGGCTGTACTTGTGCCAAGGGTGTCTCTGTGAAGTGCATAGTCATGTAACCAGCATGTTGATTGACAGGTTTTATTCACTGCCTTCCCGCTGATTCACCTGCAGCTCACTCCCTAATTAGGCCATTGCTGTACACAAAAATTGGGATCCCCATCCCTGGTGAGCAGCTTGAACCCTACCAAAATGGGCAGGGGGTTGTTGGAGGGCTGGCTCAGTAGCTGGATTTCCTCTGCTTACACACTGGGAACTGAGCCTCAAAATGAGCAGCTCTTCATTAAAGACACCCCCCAGGAGTTTGTGTTAAAGGCACAAAGTGCACAGGGCTGGTGCAAACACTGCTGTGATTGTCCTGGACAAACACCTGTGCCGAAAAGTCCCCTTAAACTTTCTTTGAACCTTGGTCCTATTTCTGGGACTTGTGCTTCTCCATTTATTTCTCTGTAAGAAAGAAACCTTTGGCTGACATGCTGTAGGAGAGGGATAGAGGTGGTGACGTTGCCCTGACTTCAGTGGGAGGCGTGATTCCCTTTTGTGAGACCATTTTGTCGTGTGTTCCCTTCCTTTATGGAAAAAGTGTGATAGAATTTATTAGGGATTTTATTACCTGTATTATGGTAGCACATCAAGGTCCTGACTGAGATCAGAACCCCATTGGGCAAGGTACTGTACTTACATATAGTAAGAAACCATCCCTGACCCAAAGATCTTACAATTTGCATAGACAAGACAGACAAAGGGTGGGAGGAAAAACGAGGCACAATGAGGCAAAGTGACTTGCTGAAGGTCACAGAGCAGGACAGTGGAGGTACGTCTACACTGCACACTAAGCTTGGGCTCTGACTCAGGTTTGAGATCAAGTCCCCTTTCCGTCCATACATAAATCAGTCTGACTCGGGCCAGCAAGCACACAGGACCCAGGTCTTAGGACCCTGCTAGGGGCATGGGTCAGAGTTGGATCCAAGCCCTGTCATTCTGTAGTGTGGACTCAGCTCAAGCCTCAGACCCGAGTCAGAAGGTCAGCATAGTGCAGTGTGGATGCGTTAGCATGGCTGTGAGACCTGGGTCCAGCGATTGTAAGCCCAGGTTTACAATGCAGTGTGGATGCTCAAGCATGGGCTTGGAAACACCAAGTCCACAAGCCCAGGTCCCACAAACCTGGGTTTCCAGTGCAGTGTAGACATACCCTGGCCGAGCCAGGATTAGTGCCCAGGTCTCTTGACTCTCAATGCTGTGCCCTATCTGTAGGGTTCTACAGAATATACTCTAAAACCTCTAGTATTTAATAGAGAATGAGCTCCTTGTGCAGGGTTTTCCTACCATCCTACAGAGGTACAACATTTTTGATTAAATTCTCTGGAATGGTCCCCAAAAAACGTATAGAAAAGGTTACCATTTCCTATGAAATCTCCTTGGGCTTTTCCATCTGGATTACACCTAAAGGACGGTGTGATGAAAGAGAACAGTTAAAACATAGTCATTTGGGTCTTTATTGTTAAAGGGTAAATCTTCAAAACAGTGGGTGATGATTTAACCACAGCCCTCCCCTTAGCTTTAATGTGTGTAGTACAGCTGAAATCCCCCAATACACAGCTCTGCAATGACCCCCTTTGAAGATCAGGAATTGGCTGGAATGCTGGGAGCAGAGGTGAGGGGAAAGATATGAGAGAGTGGGGCACAACCTGCAAAAATGAAGAGAGTTAAAGGAACCAAGTGTAGAAAATATCTGGCAAATGGTGATTTTTTTTCCCCCTCATTCCCTTTGTCAGGAAGGACGTGAATCTCAAAGAGGTTTCAGCTGACACAACTGACCTGACCCAGTACAAAAGTGAAGGCATAAGGCTGGGTATGTGTTGAATCAGCAGGATGCCTCCTGCAGCAGTTCTCAACTCTTGGATCCAAACTAATCACGACTGAGATTTTCCAAGCCATCTAAAGGGTTTGGTTGGTTGCCCAGTTTCTCATTCATTTCTGTGGGACTTGTCCATCCACAATCTGCAGGCAGCTTTGGAAATCTCAGCGCACAAACCTAAAACTTGGGCCAAGTTTGCCAGACATTTTGGGCTGACCCTCGGGGCTTGAGTTTTGGGATAACTGGGAGTTTTGGGATATGCTGGGGGCTGATTTATGGGTTTGGAGGAAACCGGGCAAAACTCTTTACTTTCACTTTGGGCTTTTGGGCTTCTTTGAACCCTGCAGCTCAAAGCAAAATTCATGGGAATGTGAAGCCCTGTGATGCAAAAACAGGATGAAAATTTGCCCCACATTCTGTGAAGGGATGTTATAAGGATGATAATCACAAAGCCACTTCTCTAGGGTCTACCATTGAAGAGTCTCGAAGCACTTTGTCATTAACCCCATGTTACAGATGGGCACATTGAGGCACAAACCAACTAAATAATGTGTCCAATGCTATGCAGTGAGTCACTGGGAGAGATAGAAATAAAATCCCCAAATCCAGCCTCTGAGGTCCCTGCTCTAATCACTTGACCTTGCTCCACTCCCAGAAGAGGGTATGAACAGCAGTTGACTGAGTTGGGGAAAGAGGAAGGTCATGAGCCAGCCCCATTCCCTGCCTCCCATCTTCCACTGTAGCAAATTTTACTCAGTCCATTGCAATCAGGTCCTCCCTGGATGCTGCAAACCATCATTCCTCTTTGGAAGTGCAGGGGAAACACGTGCAAAAGGACTCAGAGAAATATCCTAGGAGGTGAAGTTGGGAGTGGCTGACTCTTGGGTCCTAGAGTATAGAAGACTGAGAATCCCAGTGTTGGATCTCATGGTCAGATGAACCATGCTGAAATAAAGGGATGCAAGCCAGACTCAGTGATGGCTTACATAAGGGTCACTGCATGGATGTGTGTGCATACCCGGGGGATCCTGTAACATAGCTGGAGATGAATCCTCCTCCTTTTTACTGGAGCTTGAAATGGGAGCCTTGAGTTCCTTTTTTGGGTGGTTAATCAGGGGGCCTTCTCATTGTTCAAGCTTAGGGAAGATTGCATTTAGAGTCATCTTGTTCCTCTTTGGTGTACCGAGCTGAGCATAGGGGGCCAAACTCACTCCCTATGTGTCTCCGGGTATGTCAGTGGACTCACTGGTACCTCAGGGAAGAATTTGGCCCTTTCTATTTTGTTCTGTGCAGTCCAAATAAAGGCCTACCCATAATCTGTCCTCTGGAGGGAGGTACTGCTCGGAGAATCATAGGATACAGAGTCAGAGGCTGAGCTACAGAGACCCCAAGATGGGCCCCTGAAAACTAGAAAGCATGTGAAATGCAGCAACAGAGAATAGAGGAGTTCCAGGAGGCAGGTCTGGGGCAGGGGATGGGATCTGGGATATAATTCTGTGCAGGGGAGTGGGGCAGGCGGCACCAGGTGGCTTCCTACAACTCTGACGAAATCCTGCCGAGGGCCTGCATCTTCTGAGAGGTTTCCTAGGAGGAAAATTCTTTAAATAACGACATCAGGAAAGGCCCCCAGGTGCCCTTCACCCAGCTAATCCGGAGCATCTCGCTACAGACCTAAGCAATCCTTGGCCGTTACTGAGGGCAGGACGCTGAACTATTCAGACCTGATCTGTGCCAGTGAAGTGATTAAGCTGGGGAAACATGTTTCCTCCCTGCCAGTGTCTGAGTAGTTCTGCAAATATGACCGATCAGGAGATGCACCTAGTGCCCGCCAGGAACGATCTCACATCCCTCTCCTCGGAAAAGCATTGCTTTCTTTTAATGTTCTGTTGGAGGCCGGCCTCTGAACTGCGCTCCTTCCTCACGCAGATTTCAAAAACAACATCCTGAAGGAGAGGGCCGAGCAGGCCCAGAGCTTCCCAGCAAAGATCATCGATTTAGACAAAGGTAACGATGACCCACTCCACCCACTAAATGCTGGGTCGGATGCTCTTTATTGTGGGGGCATGGGGGAGGCGGGGAGCGTGTTGCTAAGATTGTAGCAGCCCAAGCCACAGATGAAGGGGGAACGTCCAAGCAGCCTGACACATGGCCGCTGCAATGAGGAGTTGGTTTTGCTCATGTTCTCTCATCATGCAGCCACAAGTTACAAGTGGTGATTAGGAGCCTTAAAAGCTCTTGGCAGCAGATGAGAATTTTCTTCCCACCACAGTATGTAACAGAGCTAGAATACTTTATTCCAGTCTTTTAAATAGTACTTTCCCCAGCTCCTCGGGGCAAAGATGCCCCCTAACCGAAATGTGCTCCATGGAGGTTAGGAATGACCCACACTCTGGAAGAAAGTACCATGGGCTACTTTGGTTATGGACATCATCCACTTGATCCAAAGCAAGTAAACAAAACCCCCATGAGTCTGAATCTCCTCTCATGCCTGTGTAAATCTGGAGTAACTCCACTGAAATCAACAAAGTTACACTGGGGTAGAAGTGGTGCAAGTGAGAAGGGAATCAGGCACCCGGCCTCCTGTAATTCAGCTTTATAACTTTATTAGTGCAGAGATCACATGAAGTTATCTTGGAGCTACAACTGTTGCTATGCTACTGCCTAGATCCTGCAGAGCATCTCATAGCAACCGTTTAAATAGCTTGGGACCAGTCTGGATCACATCTGTGAAAAGACCATACCAGATCACTGAAAGAAGCAGAGTCAGTGGGGGGTTGCTAGCAAATGAAGGAGCTGTTGGCAGGAGGGAGAGCTCAGTGGTTTGAGCATGAGCTTGCTAAACCCAGGGTTGTGAGTTCAATCCTTGAGGGGGCCATTTAGGGATCTGGGGCAAAAACTGGGGATTGGTCCTGCTTCAAGCAGAGGGTTGGACTAGATGACCTCCTGACCTTCTATGATTCTATGTTTTGTCCTCTCTAGTAAAATGATTGTGTTATTTGGAACAATGGAATATTCTCTGTATAAAGAGGGGGAGAAAGCTTTTCCTAAAGGGAACCGGGGTCTGCTTCTGTTTGAATCAGATCACGTGGGTGGCTGTCACAAAGCATGGAGATGAAATTATAAGAGAGAAGGCACCCCACAGCAAAAGAGGTGGATGGAAAGCTCCCAAACCCTCCCCACTCATGCCTAGGTCTGGATGTAGTTGTGAGTCACTTTCACAGAGCACTGGGAAAGTTCTCTTCACTCCGAGTGCCTCACACTCATGGATACATTTATCCTTCTTGTTCTCCTGCGAGGAGAATGGGGTGAAATTTTTCAACTGAAACTTCTTTTCAGTGGAAAATGCAGATTCGGCGACACCAAAACATGTGGCAAATTCACAGAGCTTTGGTTGAAAAACACCCTAACAGAGAGAGAAATTCTGAAAAAAAATCAAAATGTTTTGTGTGACCTGAAATGATTCTTTTTTCTTCGTCTTATTATTTTTCAAGTCACCAAAAATTTAGAAAAAATTCATTTTTGTGTCAATCTGAAACTTCTGTTGGAATTGCCAATGAGCTGAAAAATCTGTTTTTTTACACGGCTCGACCAGTGAAGTGGGGAAATGACATTATTCCCATTTGGGGATCTGAGCCATGGGAGGAGGGAATTTAACTCAGGTCTTCTAAGCAGCACTCAGGTGCCTTAATACAAGCCCCTCCTTTCAGTTGAGGCATCTTCATCACAACACACAAACCACCCCCAGCCTCAGCTGGGTCTCAGAAAGAGGATTTTTACCAGACGGGCAGGCTGTCAGCACCTTGCTGCACATCTGTGTATATCACAGTGGCTTGATTTGCGTGATTTGAAATGAGTCTGCAACTGCTAACCTTCACCCCCTCCTGTGCTTTCAGATTTCAGGAAGGAATACTGTAAATGAAGACATTCTGAAGCTGCTGGCTGGACCAGAAGCTGCAATTAAAAATAGACGAGATGCATTCCTTATTACAACATCCTTTCAGTTACCGTAGAGCTTTCATTTAGACTTTCTTCCCGGTGGGCACCGAGGCGTGTGCAGCTGCATACAGAAAGGTTTAGCTTGGCTGTGTGATCTTGAGATGTTTTTTGGTGGCTTCTTTTCCCCCTTTCCTGTTTATTTTTCCTTCTCCTTTTCTGATTTTTTGGTTCTTTTGCATCAATGGTTTTTTTCAGCTGAATCAGCAGACGTTTAGCTTTAACTTAACAGCATGAAATAAACCCAACCTGCACCATGACCCTGAGCCATCCGTATGTCAGGTACTTTTCCCTGCAATGTGTTTAACAGAGAATAAGACAGGGTCTGATTCTGATCTCCCGTATGCTGGCATAAATCAGGAGGAATAATCATGACACTTAGTACTTTCCATTGTCAAGATGTGGTATCAATGTTAGGTAATCCATCCTCATGCCCTGCCAGGAGGGTGAGTAAATATTATCATCCTCCTCCAGATGTGGAAACTGAGGCATACAGGTGCAGTAACTTGCCTGTGATTTTACAGAGGATAACTGGCAGCACTGGGATTAGATTCCAGATGCTGTGGATACCTAGCTCTGTCTTATTCTTCTCAGCCACCTGGCCTGATCTTATTATTATTAATTTTTTTTTAAATTATAGACCAAATCCAACCTTGGCTTGAGCAGGTGCAGCTTCCTTTGAAGTCAATGCATTGTACTGTTGGAAAACCAGTGTAAGTTAGATCAGAACCAGAAATCTTACCATGAACAAAGCAAAATTCTTGGATCCGTTGGGTGGTTCTCTGCTGCATACCCTGCATTTGCCAGGTGGGTCCTACCCACGCAGTGAGGTGCAGACCAAACTCCACCCTGTAGGTCTCTTAGCTGCAGGATGGATCAGGGAGGAGAATTTTTCACTATGGACCAAACCCAGCCCCAAGCATGACTCCCACTGACGTAAAGAGAGGTTTCAGAGTAGCAGCCGTGTTAGTCTATAGGCGTAAAAAGAAAAGGAGTACTTGTGGCACCTTAGAGACTAACAAATTTATTAGAGCATAAGCTTCTCGGATCCGATGAAGTGAGCTGTAGCTCACGAAAGCTCATGCTCAAATAAATTTGTTAGTCTCTAAGGTGCCACAAGTTCTCCTTTTCTTTTTGAGACAGCAGAGAGCCATTCTTGGCTTGCATTTCTCTGGGCTTGAGTGAAATCCAACCCACATCTCTGCAGGTGCAGGAGGGAGCACTGGTTATTCAATCAGGACAGCACAGTCTCAAGCAATCAGCATTAATGTGTGTCTCTCTCTCTTTCATGTCTGTGAGTCAAAGGTTGGAACTTTTACTTGCCAGTTCAAATTGCTTTGCGCAGCTTATATAGACCCAGGCTAGAAATGGGGTCACTTAATCATAAGCTCCAGAGGAGTTTAAATATTTCATTTGTCTTCTAGGCTGCAAAATAGCTTAAGGGGAAAAAAATAACATGTTTTCTGAACTAGGCACAGGGCTTTGAGAGCTCCCCATCTTTGCTTTGATCTCCAGCGTGAATGTGGGTAGCAGTCAAGCCTGGGGTGTGTGTAACCCTATGTTGCTCGAGGTGGTACTGTGGCCGCTTAGCAAACAAATGAATCAGTAACTCAGAAGAGGCTTTTGTCCGTGATTCTGTGGAGACTCCTGTGACATTTGGGGGTGGAATTTTGCTTGTGCGATGTATCGTGGCTGCATCTCTGCACATGCAGCCACTCAAAGCAAACTGCGTTTCTCACAGGCCACGTCGCGCAACAGGCTTGGAGTTTCAGCCTGGGCCCAAAGCTGGCTGGGAAGAATTACACAAAAACGTGGCCAGGGAAAATTGTTCCCAGTGGTTGTTAGACGTCCCTCGCTGTCCAGGCCACTTTAAGAAAAAACAGAAGAAGGGCCAGGCTGGAAGTCTTGCTAGACAGCACAGAACAAAGGATTTCCCATAATGGATCAGGCCGTTGTCTGATAACCTGCCTCAGGCACTACCTGGTACTTCAAAAGAATGTGCAATTTCCTGGCCAATTGCACTGTGCTGCACATGGAGGGACAAAGTTCCTCTTTTATCTCTGGCCTGCCACGTGAGGATCTGAGGTTGTCATGCTGGCAGGGTCTAGGAGCACTCAGGAGAGAAACCCCTTCCTTTCCACGCGGCTGGTAAGAGAGGTGATGGTTCTTGAAGGAATCATGTCCCGACAGAGACCTTACTGTGATGCTTCCACTGCCAGCTCCTTGGGGCAGGGACCGTATCTGGTCCAGAGCCAGACACATCACTGAAGCTTAATAATAAAAAATAAAAAGTTCCCAGGCCTTGATGGGGCGGGGGAGGAGATTTTAAAAAGAGGGTCTCTTGGAGGATTGCACCCTCTCAAAGCAAAGCTGACTGAAATGGCAGCATTCAAGTCTGGCACATCAAGTGTCCTGTGTAGATCTGAACAGGTTCAGTGCAAGGTTGGTTTTTGCTAATCAACGAGAAAATCAAGCTGGACAAGGCATGCATTGCTGCCCTATTTCAGGGACACATGCCAGGTGTGTAATTTGCCAGGTCAGAGGCCGGAGGTAAAGAGATCTAGGCAAGACTACAGGACAATCTGGGCAGTGTTTCCATAGTACGGTTAAATAACTAAGTGGCATCAGCAGAGGTCGGTTCTTGTGTCTGATGGTGTAGAGGAGTGATGAGAGGGCAGACAGCTTTCAGCTCTGGCACCATGGAGCAGCTCATTAGCTTTAGCTCCTTTGCATGTTTGTTCTTGTATATTGTTGGTCTTTCCCCTTGGCCTGAAGGAGTATGGCTGTTCTCTCTGCAGCTCAGGTTTCTCATCAGTATATGGGGGATAATAATTCCTCGCTCACAGAGGGGCAATTCATTAATATTTGTACAGCACTTTGAGAACCTTAAATGCATGTGTTTATAGCAGTGCAAGGAAAAAATGACTGCACTGAGCAGATGCTGCATTTAATCTTCAGCAGACATGGTCCCCTTTTGATTTACGGACTGTTGTCAAGATTTGCACCCTTGATTCCCGAGAAACGCATTTCACTATAATAATAAAACCCCTTAATATTTGCCTGCTGGTTGCTTCCCCTGTTCTGAAGCAAGTTGATGGCAGAAAATGCAAAGGGCCTGGTAGGGTAGTTAAGATTTTGTAGACTGTAATCTTTTGTTTGGAAACAAGGCAACAGTTTACATCAGTGACCTTAAAAAGGGTTACGGTAAATGCCAGCTGGGCCCAGATCGGCTCGGCTCTTTGGAAGCGAGAATTTTCCAGAGAATTTTCCAGCAACAGGGCCTTTATTTTTAATTCTTGGAATCAATATTATCTGGTGCTGATGGGTTTGACTTTGGAGCCGTGAAAGCATGATCCTTTCCCTGTGATTTGTGCTCTCTGCTTTGATAGGAAAGCTGCCAGAAAGTTCGTTTTCTTGCACTTGCGTTCCCACTGATGGAGTCCTTTTGGCTGTTTTCCCTCCCAAGTGCAATTGTTCATAAGTGAATGATTGTTATTGTTAACAGTTCTATAGGCCATCGGACCGACACTGACTTCTTCTCCTTTTTCAGCAAGCACAGTAATTTGGCGCCAGAGAGAAAGACAGAGAAATCCTAGGATTAGTTTAATGAAGACGACATTGTCATGATCTTAGTTGGACATAAACAGTAGGGAGTCCCTTCTGTAGGCAGGAAAGTGGGTACAGATAAAGAACTAAGGCACCGAGGTGGACGTGATGATTTGGAAAAGATAAAAAAAAAGAACAGCTCTTGTGATTCAGAGTGTCTGGGCATAAAACTATCCTCGGCATGAGCTGGTGAGATCTTAATTGAAGACTTAGTGAGCTGAACTTGACTAGATGCTTGCGAGATGGTGTAATTTGATGCAGCTGCGCAATCCATATACAGGTGCTAAAGCAACAGGGATTATGTTAGTCTACAACTTAGATATTTTGCCAGAAAGTACACAGCTGGGAATGGGTATATAGATATATATTTTGGAAATTAGAAACTTGCTAATTACAGTGGAGCTCCATCTAGATGAGAACCTGCCTGGCAGGTGTGATGCTATAACCCAGGCTTTATGTGGGCTTGCCCGGGTTGCATGCAGCAGATAGGATGCACCCGAATGGCTTGAGGATTGTCTTCCCACAGAGTGAAGCAAAAAGTGTTTCTTCCCCCAGTATCTGAGTGGTTGGGCATGTGTTAAAATTCAAATGGGCAGAGGCTAAGTGCTGCTTCCCAGATGACACTGGAACTTGAAGCAAAGGCAGAGCCAGTTTCTCAGCTGGTGTAAATCAGTAAGCTCTGGTGGCTACACCAGTTTACATCAGCTAATGATCTGATCCACAACAGTTTGTTCATGGAAAAAAGAATCATTTTGGTTTGTCTGATGATTTCCCCCGCAAAGAAATGAAATGCTACAAGAGATTTTGCACGTGGAAAGAAAACTCATGGCGAGCACAGGAAAAGCTGTAAAGTTTTTTTGTATCTGCTTATTCTATACCATTTAGGATTTTTTATTTTAACAAACTCCCTGATCAAATAGTAGTCATTGCAACGTAGAGAAGTGTCTTTAGGTTTTTAATGTAAAACCCAGAAGGTGTTAGCAGTGACAAACCATGCTTCTGGTTTGAGGGCTATGCTGGGTGATTAACCATAGGAACACCTTACCGAGAGACATGGTGGAGTCTCTGTCACCTGAAGTCTTTAAATCAAAAGGGGATGCTTGCGGAAAGATATGCTCCAGCTCAGCCAGAAATTCTGGGCTTGATGCAGAAATTAGTGGGTGAGGTTCTCTGGCTTTTGTTACACAGGAGACCAGATTGGATGATCCTAACAGTCCCCTCTGTTATGATCATCTATGAATCCTCTGCAGGGGGCCTGGTGCTGCATTTGGCTTTTTCTGAGGTGCATTGGGAACATTTATTTTTTTATTTCTAATATGCAGCCCTCCCAGTTTTAATGATTTGAAGTTAGACAGGGGCACATCAGCCAGAAAATCTGTTAATAAAATTAGAGTAGTATGTGCAATAGAAAATGCCTCCTAAATTATATGTGGGGCTATTTTTTTCTCTGTTACAGCTGTGCAACCCTATAATAACAATTAATACCAAGGAGCCCTTCCACCCAAGATCTCAAAGTGCTTTACAAAGGTGTGTAAGTAGAACTGTCTTCACGTCTCAGATGGGGAAACTGAGGCACACCGTGATTTGTATCGACTTGTCCAAAGCTACACAAGCGGAGCTAGGACGAGGACACAAATCTCCTGCTTTTCAGCTGTGTGCAGTAGCCACTGAACTGTGCTGCCTCTCCAGATTGAGAGGAGAGTCTGGCCCATAAAGCTGGTTTGACTCTGTGTTGTAATCTACTTCATTTTCGTACTATCATTGTTGCTTTATTGTCATCATTTATCAGCCCATTGTGTAACTCTCCTTACATGTAAGAAATAAAGAAGAATGTACTTGGTTTTCAAATGCAGTTGGTTTTATTTCTTGCTCTTCGAGACGCCCTCTAAGAGACTGAGAAGCAGCCGCATGTTCCTGCTTACCTCTGTGCAGCACCTTCCTCCTCAAAGTGCTCCAAAATGCTCAACGAACTGTGGCCCCGATCCTGCACACTCCCAGGAAGAGCTCCCCACAGGGAGGGCTCATCAGACTGGGTCTGTAAGGCCCAAATCCTACAGTCTATATGCAAAACCTCCCATTGACTTCCCAAGAAGTTACATATCAGGATCAGGCCTTCTACTGGAGATACAGCTCACACCACCACTGAGGGTTTAGCAGTCCATGGTAACGACGCACAGTGCTGTAGGACAGAAAGAGAAGGAAGACACCATATCCCATTGAAACTGCGGGGGTGGGGGATTTGCGGGCACGGTGACAGTATAGGAGGATTATTATTACTGTTAGTAGACTCTTCAGGACTCTAGCATGGGCAGACAGAGAAGCAAAGAATTTGCCTTTAGCAGGGGGTCAGGAATCTGCCCCACCCACCTGCTGCCAGGAGTTAAACTTCTAAAGCTCATGCCACTTGGTGCACATTTAGTCAATTCCTCCTACCTGGAATTCCTGCTGGACTTAAATACCCGCCAGGCCTCCCCATTCTGCTCTTGGAGAGCCACCAACTGCTGACCAATAGTCCAGCGGGAGTGACAGAGTTCTTCCCAGGACAGAGTAGAAACCGCCTATGTTACCCTGTTGGATGGACAGTCCAGTCCCTGGCAAAGGAAGAGGGAGATCAAAGCATTTGGCATGGGAGAAAAGCAGGGGGTGATACAGTATAAATAGCCAGAGGTGGATTGAGGAGCCTGTCCAGTCTGCCTGGCTCTAGCCAATGCTTCATGTCCCACCTACATGGAATTCATATTAAAAACAATCCATTGTTATTCCATGACACCTCTTACCCGAGAGCAGGTCAGCCTGCACGGCCTCCTTCAACTCTCCCAACTGGCCAAAATAAACAAGGTTAAAGAGGGGGCTAGTGATGAGCTGGAGCCCCCCCCCATCCCCTTTCTGACAGCAGATTGAAAGGAAGGTTGGGGTGATTTCCCTGCCTCTGAGGGCGTCCCCCCCCCCTTGTCTGGGTGTTGCTCAATCAGCCCTGCTAGGATAGGGCTCCCAAAAACATGTGTGACAATCAAACCCTTTGCCTTTGGAGTGCCCCAGGTTGCACCAAGCATCGGGACCCTTCCGTTTCTTTGGCTAAGATGAATTCAGGGCCCACAAGCACACAGTGGGTCCACGCGGGTCGGGCCCATTTTTAAGCTGGAGCGTGTGTTCCTCACTGCAGCATCTAAGGGGAAGCAGGGCTGGCCATTCTGAGCCGACAGGTGGCTTCTAGCAGCTGAGCTCATCCCTCGACCAACCCCCACTGGGAAGGAATCAAACCTGAGACCAGTCTTTAGATTGAAAACTATTTCCTCACCTTATGTGTTTTTTTGTTGTTGGGGTTTTTTTTGATAAAAGCCTTGAGCAAACTGCAGGGCCGGGCCACAGAAAATGCTTTCAAATTACACTGCAACTGCTGAAGGCCAAAGACACCAGCAATTTGTTGGGCGGACATGGCACGCGCTGGGTTTGATTTCTCCCATTAGTGCTAGATGGGAAATGGGGAGCCGAGCTTCCAAAGGCCCTCCGAAAGTGCAGCTGCAAAGTCTGCAGACAGGTCTGTTTGCACACGCATGATACCCACATTTACATGTGCTCCAAGGGCAAGTGACCAGCCGCCAACCAAAAGGGAGAATTTTTCCCATACACAAATCGGGCAGCTGGCAGAGGTGGGTGTGATCACCAAACTGCTTGGAGAACATGGTCCTAATGCCTAGCCAGGGCCAATCCTGGCTTATACAATGCTCCGGGCCACAGGCTCCCAAACGGTGTTGTGCCACCCATTCGTGGTCTGCAGAGAGATGGCTGGTCACAGCACTGACTGTTCCTTCTCATTTCCCTCTGTTTCTCCAGGCAGTCAGGCTCTTCATTGCCAAGAAGGTCCTGGCCACCCATAAAAGCAGCTGGGAACAAGGAAGAGCCAGTATAGCAGCTACAGGCCATTGGAATCAAGGGGAGTATTTCCATTGTCTTCAAGTGACTTTGGTTCAGCTCCACGCTCAGAAGAGGAATGGAAACAGGAAAGATTTAGGGGAACCTACTTGCCAATGGGAATGGAGCTGCCAGTCACCAGCTGGAGAAACATCCTGGGGAGAAGGGAACAAAGTGTCCGGAAACCTGCACAGAGGAAGAAGAGGAGAGGGGACCAAGCACCGCGGTGGGGGTGGAGGAGACACAGATGGGAAGGAGTGGGGAAATAAAGAGCAAAAGTAGACAGTGTGATTCACTCTCTCCTAAATGGACAAAACACAGTCCCTTGCCCAGGTTCCCAAACTCTGGCGCTTCACAGAGAGCTGGCTTTAATTGCATTAAGGACAATGTCAATTACAGGAAAACTTTCCCATGTGAACAAGGGCTGGAGGGGTGATGCCCAGTGGTGAGTGGGAAGCTGCGTGAACCAGGCAATGCAGAATGGGAGGCAGGAGGTGCCCATTATACTCACTGCTGAGATGTGGTCCTTACTGTGAAAATGTTTGAGAAGTGTATGTGTGTGTGTGTGTGTGGGGGGGGGTGTTGGTGTTTCTAGTCCCACAGATGCCCTGTGGATGGGATTCATCTAGGGATTGTGTCTTGGCTAGAACACAGGTTTCGTCCCACTTGATCTGTGGAGGTGGGGAATTTAATATAGGCCTTGTATTTGAGGCTCCCATCTAAAACAATCAAGAGGAGGAAAAATGGCACTTTATCAAAATGAACTGGATCCCACTTGCTGCTTTGATGACCTGCCTCCGTGCTCCAGCCTGACGTCCCTTCACAAGCAAAACTTCCAGCAACTCCAAAGGGAGACTTTTCTGCATAAGAGTGGCAAGTTCAGGCATTTGACCAGCAAAGAGATGGGCTGGGTTTTGTTTTTCCTGCTGCTGTCAATGTTTCCAACCCATCTGGCTTATAGAACTCAAACAGAATCCTCTGCCATTCAGACTTCATCCCTCAGATGTTATCTGGCAGACCACGGCAGTTTTAAATGGTGATGTATGCAACAGCAACACCGCCAGGCTTTCAGCGGCACTACAGGGCACTAGGTAAGATGTAAAACTGGGGCCTGGGTCACTTTTGATCATTAAGTTAGTAAAGATCTCATAAAACCTTTTGCAAAATATGGGGAATGACCTGTAAGACTCTGGCCAAATTCGGACAATTTAAATTATGCTCCACAGCTTCAGTTCAATGTGGGATTCTTCTTCATATCCTCCTCTAAATTGTTTGTAGTGTTGCTATGAGTTGTTAAACAGCTGCCACATTCCACCTCAGAGGTGGCTGCACTTCAGTGATGGGAGCACCTTTGTAATACAGGTAATCACCTGGTTTTCACTTTGGGTTTGCTGTTGCTGGGATGCACTGATGCACTGGAGGGTAGTTCAGTCTCATGTAGGGGGACCAGACAGCAAGTGTGAAAAATCGGGACAGGGGTGGGGGGTAATAGGCGCCTATAGAAGAAAAAGCCCCAAATATCGGGACTGTCCGTATAAAATAGGGACATCTGGTCACCCTAGTCTCATGGCCTGTTCGTTCTTTGATCAGCATAGGAGCCAATTCATGCTGACTACGGCTCTGGGTTTTGAGCTGCAGCCACCTGTCTGCTGGTAACTGACCTGAGCCCCACAAAACACTTCCCCTGGAGCCACTGACACCCATCAGATGGGAACAGCATCATTACAGACCTGGGCTGGATTTAAAATTAGAACCTGGGCTGGAGGCGGCTGTATCCCATCCCCAGTCCCACGGCTTCTATTTACAGTCATAGGAGAACTATGCACGGGCCCCAGCAGGGCTTACTAACTTGCTCCTTTTAAACAGTCCCACAGGAGTTCAGACGCCAGGTGCTGCCTGGGCTGAGGTATGAAGCGTTGCTTGTTTGTTTATTTTTTTTGGTACATTTTGTCTCATTCCTACAGACCTCACGGCGGGCACAGACCTGTAGCTGGAAAGCCCCGCAGGGTGAGTATGTACATTCCCTGAAATGCCTTTGAAAATGCCCTGTATCAGGTGTCACTCGAACCCTGCTGCAGCCAAAAGCAACAAGGAACCTTGCTGGAAGGCCGGGGAGCGGATGTGCTGAACTTGAATGCCTTTGCCACCCTCTGGTGGCGGATGGGTTTATTGCCATGGGAGCCTCGCCTGAGCGGAGTTCCGCAATGGCCTGTCCATCGCTCAGCGAGGTGGCAGAAGAAAAAATAGACACACAGGGCCAGATACTCAGGTGGTGTATATTGATTTCAATGGCGATTTATACTACCCGAGGAGCAGGCCCATTGCTTCTTAATTTTAGACAAACCCAGGCCCTACGGTTTAGATGTGTGGGCGATACACGACCCGTCTTTCCTTTGTAAAAAGCTCCGAGGACAATTTCCATGGCTAGCTGCCATCTGCTATTTTTTGATGACGGGAAACATTTACGGCCTCTATGAACTGGAGCTAAAGCACTGACAGTGAGCTATCCAGCCACCTCTGTCCCCCCCGAGATGAGAAGAGTGTTTACATTACACTTTCCTTTCCTATTACCTTCAGAAAATTTGTTAGGGCCCACTACAATTAAACCTCGTTAGATGGGGGTCACTTAAAACGTGTGGCGAAGAGCAGTGGTCTTGCTTGATGGTTCGCACGCGTGGCTGCGGTCACAGATAGAGGTGACTGTTCCCAAACTTTCATACGTCATTCCACTGTAAATGGCCAACATCTCCCTCTCCCTTTCTCCTCTGCCACCAGTGACTCGTGTGGATGATGCTTAAGTGAAAAGCATTCGATTACGTGAATGAATAGTAAAAATGAGTCATGCTGGCAGGACTCAATGGCTTGGCAAATTGAGAAACGTTTATCTCTAGGTCATTAGTGTGGATCCAGCCAGGATGGAGTCTCTGCTAGCTAGT